ACAGAGGGGCAAGGTTGTGGAATATTGGGTGTGTTGGAGTCAAAGACATTTATTTGTCAGGTATTTTTTTTTCTCAGACTAAGCCCTTCCTGAACCTATGCCTTTCCTTCTGTCCTGTTTGCTGTGAAAGGGAAGCTGTGACTAACCAGCGTTATAAGAACACTAGTGGCCTGGTGCATGGATTTGTGCACATTGAAAGGAAATTAATTAGAAGAAATATTTTAATATCTTCAGAGGTACGTTGTGCCAGTAGTTGGTCTTCAGACATCTTCGGTCGACAACGCTGCTTTCTTTCAGCTTCAGAATGTCAACAAAAACAACCAAATTCACGATCGGCAATGACAGATCGAAACACATATGTGCGATTGGCGCCAGCGAGAGCTTTATATGTATCACACATGCGCGAGTCAACATTTATTTTTAAATTGCCAGTGCACGTCATATGTGCCGGTTGGTCGGTCGGTTGGTCGGATGGTCAGTTGGTTACTTAGCCTTTTATATATATATAGATTGTTTACAATCTCTCCACATAGTGTAGGCACCATTCTCAAAAAAGAAGAAATACCAATAAATGGTCTTCCTTGTTCTCAACCTATTACAAAGTCTAACAAACCCAAATTTGCCAATCAAATCGTACTTCATGACTCCCAAGGCTAAATAATCACTTTAAAATCTGTATTTGCATGCTTGACAGTGACTCTGCAGAATTAATATGTTAAAATGTTTTCCAAGCACTGATGGGAATTGCAATAAAGAAACTGTCAAAATGGACAGACTCCTCGTCTAGCTCAGTGGTGCAAATGAAGACAGCAGGTCTAATTTTAAAACAATAAAAATCTCATTTGTCCAACAAAAAGGCTGACAATCAGACAATCAAACTGTGAAGGGAGAATGTGGGGGGGGGGTGAGTGTATGTATTGTGTGGAGGAATCCCCTGGAACAAATACGGGTGCAGCATAAGCCTTTTCAAATGGGTGCTGAGTCTACACATAATAGATAAGAATAGAGTGACGCAAATAGGAAAAAACACACACACAAAACAAAAACACACACAGTCTTTCTTGAGCTCTTAAGCTATAAGAGCAGCTGCTGGGTGCACATATATAGGGGATGTATGTCCACACCAAAACCCGCACAGAAATGTTTATGGCAGCTTTATTTATAATTGCAAAATGTGGAAGCAACCAAGATGTCCTTCAGTAGATGAATGGATGAATAAACTGTGGTACGTTCATAGATGTATCCTTGGAAAAAGAGTCTTTGAAAAAGAAGCCTTTTAAAAAAAAATTACATCCGTCCTGGGAGAAGCTCATCCCGCCCCCACTCTCTCCATCTGCACCATCTCCTCTTTGCCAGCCAGTGCTGCTATCTTTTACCCCTTTCTACCCAGCCACACAGCTGAAAGCTATGTCTTTCTAAAGTCAGGATAATCTTAGGGTGTTTAGAACAAACATATAAAAATTTAGCTCTTTTCCTCTGTGTAAAAATTTAGTGTATACAGTAGTCCAATCCTGCCCTTATTTTAGTAGATGGGGGCTTTATTTATAATTGCAAAATGTGGAAGCAACCAAGATGTCCTTCAGTAGATGAATGGATGAATAAACTGTGGTACGTTCATAGATGTATCCTTGGAAAAAGAGTCTTTGAAAAAGAAGCCTTTTAAAAAAAAATTACATCCGTCCTGGGAGAAGCTCATCCCGCCCCCACCTCAGCACTCCCTGCCTCTCTTCTTGTGGTGTGATCAGCACACTGACACCTGGGAAAAGGTTATTTGATGAAAGCAAAGGTGCCACATATCACTGGGTCAAGAAGTTAAATACCGAAAATCCACAGACATGCATTCATTAATTGCTCAAGGCAGGACCGAGCTAGTGAGCAAGTGAGCATTCTATGTGCTCAGGACCTGGAGGCTGTGCTTTTTGCCTGACAATGGTTCCTGTTCTATCATATTTTCCATTACATGCAGAGACTTTCCATTATAACTTGCAATGGAAGTTAGAGGTGCAATCTAAGACCCAAGGAGAGGACTTTTCCTCCTTGCCTGATCTCACTCATCCCTAAACAATGGAAGATAGGACCTTTTACCCTGTTTTAACTAACCCCCTACTTGATCAGTCTTGTCATGAAAGGGCAGCCTGAGGAAGAGAATGCACCCATCAACTGTTCCAGTAGGTGGCACCCTGCTCTCTCCATCTGCACCATCTCCTCTTTGCCAGCCAGTGCTGCTATCTTTTACCCCTTTCTACCCAGCCACACAGCTGAAAGCTATGTCTTTCTAAAGTCAGGATAATCTTAGGGTGTTTAGAACAAACATATAAAAATTTAGCTCTTTTCCTCTGTGTAAAAATTTAGTGTATACAGTAGTCCAATCCTGCCCTTATTTTAGTAGATGAATTCCGTTTCAACACTGGATTCTGTTTATTGCAAATATTTTGAAAACGCTAAAACTGCTAAAGTTTATTTCCGTCTTAGAGTTATTTTATTTGAATTCACACCAACCATTTCCTTGAGGGGCAGGGTGGTATAGTGGCTAAGGGCACCAAAATCAAACTTCCCAGGTTCAAATCCCACCTCTCCCAAACTAAAAATTTGGCAATTTGTGGCAAGTGGTTCCAGAGATGAGTTTTCTCATCTATAACGTAGACCTGATGATCCAAGGGGTTAATATGGATAAAGCACTGAGCGCATTACCTGGTGCGTAATAAGACAATAAATCATAGCTGTAACTGCAAGTATTTAATGTTTGTATTATATGTCCTGTTCCTCTTCTTCCCACCCATCTTCAAGATCCTTCAGAAAAGTGATCACGTCTTCTCCATCAGATTAGGCTAGGTCTCAGGGTTTGTTTTTTCTGTTCTTCCAGACACCCCGCCTAGGATTCTGCGATTTACAAGGGGACCTGGGAAGGTGTTCTTGACTCCCTACTAACAGCCATCTAAAATCCCTCTGCCTTGCTACTTAGACTCCTAGCCCTGGAGTCATGTGGCCTGTACTTGCCACCTCTGTGATTCACTGTCTACTCCAGCATCTGATTCCATCACATTTAAAGCTTGGATATTATTCTTGAAACAAATTGACTGCTTTATTCAGTTGACGGAGAAGAGGAGCAGGGAGAAACAGATGAATCACAGTCCGTGCTGGTACCAAGGGCCCTGAGCATACCTGCATATATGCATACTAGAGACGTTCCTGTCTCTAGCCAGTAAAAGGGGATACACCTTTACAAAACACATCGCCTTATAGCAGTGGTTCTCAACCTTGGCTGCACATTAGAATCACCTGGGAATCTTTTTTAAATCCTGATTTCTGGGCCTCATCCTCCGGAAATTCTGTTTCTTTGTTATGGGGTAGGGCCACAACATTAGTAACAAAGAAACAGAATTTCCGGAGGATGAGGCCCAGAAATCAGGATTTTAAAAAGATTCCCAGGTGATTCTAATGTGCAGCCAAGATTGAGAACCACTGCCTTATAGTGTCCTGGGGTGGGGATGGGTAATGAGAAAGGAGGAGGAAGGTATACTGTGTGGGGAACAGAGAGAGATACTGAAGTTCATAGAACATCTGCGCTGTGTCTGGAGAACAGGAATGTCATCATCTCATTTAATTCTCACAACAAGATAGTGAGGTGGATCTAGAGTCCCAGGGCGATGCCGGCAGGCCCCGTTTCAGAATGGAATGGCTAGTCTGGCTCACCAACCAAAAGGTTTGCATCTGAATTTCTGGCTCTTGTTGAAAAATAAAGACAGGCTGGCACTGAGCCTGGCTGCTCCCTGAGACCCCATAAGTGCTCTTAAATGCACCAATGTGCCCCCTTCCCCATGACTATAACCCCCACCTCCCTGCTGTATGTTTCCTGCCTGGCTCCTATGCACATCTGAGTTGGCTAGATCATTATTTCCCCCTTTTACTGCTCAGTAATTGAAGCCCAGGGCAGGTAAGTAACTTCCCCTTGGCTGCCAAACTGAGACTGAAGAAGCTAGAATTGAAATTTTGGTCCATTTCCATCCAAAGTCTGTGCTCTTGACGTGCCCTCCATTTTCACAGAGGAGATTTATATAGACTCACACATCATTCAGAACAGATGCTCATGGAGGGAAGTAGTGTAAAAGAGCGTCCTACAATTAGGAGTTGGGAGACCTGCATTCAAGTTGTGGGTATAGCACTTGCTGAACGCCTGGCTCTCAGTACGTCACTTCATGTCACTTCTCTGGGCCTCAGAGAGCTCCTCTGTAAAAAGGGACGTCCAGGTCTACTTCACAAGGCTGTTCTGAGGATGGAAAGAGAGTTGGGAAGCTCTTGGTAGGCGGCGAGCTCCACACCTCTTAGGGATTGCCAGGCCAGCAGCAAGGAGCAGGGAGGTGAACCCTAACTGTGACGGTGTAGTGTCTGTAGTACTATTTTCACCCTGAAGGAAGGTGGGGCAGGACGGCTTGAGCCAGACCCCAGACCTCGGCTAAAGGGTCAAATATGATTGGATTGGCCGAGCCTGGTTATCCCTGGCAGGAGGGCACCCCTGGTGTATGGTTCAAACCCACTTGAGAGAAATCAGAGGCTTTTTATTTGTAGGTATTAATGATTCTAGAGACGGTGGGTTAAAGTTCTATCTGCCCGCCCAGCCAGCCTGGTTCAGTGGCTGAGCGTTGACCTGTGAACCAGGAGGTCGCGGTTGGATTCCCCCAGGGGGCCTATCCAGGGGGCTGCAGGCTCAATCCCCAGTGTCAGGCGTGCAGGAGGCAGCCGATCAATGATTCTCTCCCATCATTGATGTTTCTCTGTCTCTCTCTCCCTCTCCCTTCCTTTCTGAAATCAATTTAAAAAATTATATTTTTAAAAAGTTCTATCTGCCCGGGGTAACGCAGGGCCTCCTGCCCACCACCTTCCAGTCCAGTGCATCCGTGAGTCTGGATCCTGCACCCACCTCTCCAACTGCTCCCTGGGGCCCCGCCCCCCGGTGTCCGGCCGGCCCTCCTCCTCCGAGGGCGGGGCCCTGCGCTGGGCTCCGGGGCTGAGAGCGCCCCGCCTCGCCGGTGCTTGCTGCCCGGAGCGCCAGCGGACGGGCGCCCACGGAGCCCCGCGCGCCCAGCCACACGTGAGTCCCGGCGGGCCCGGCCCGGGGCGAAGCCCCCTGGGCTGTGGGGCTCGGGTGGGGGGACTCGGGAGCGCTTTCGGCTCGTCCCGTGAACTTGGAAACCGAAAGTGCCGCAGCGGCGTGAGCCCCGCGCCCCGCGCTGCTGGGGTCCCGGGCGAGTCCCCGCCTGGCGCAGGAAGGCCAGCGGGTGCGGGGTCGGGGCTCGGAGAGGCTGGCTTAGCAGACAGGGGTGTGGCGAGGACGGACACTGGGGCCCAGGGCTGGGGAGCTGCGCTAGAGCGCGGTTGCGGGCTGGAGGGGCCAGGTTCGAGTTGGGGTGAGCCCGCACACCCGCACCCCAACCCCCTGGATCCTCCTCTATACCCTTAGGCATCCCCTCCACTTTTGCAAGACTTTCCAACCAGAGCACTCCAGAATGAAATGAAACTTTAATATTGGAATGAATGGAAACCTCGCATTTAGACACGCAACACACACACACACACACACACACACACACACACACCCCTCAAAGGAAGGTGTCTTGGAGGGAAACCAAGACTCAGAGGTGCATGGGTTTCCCAGGGACACGCAGAGAATTGGTGCCATCCGGGTTTTCCACACCACAGTGCCGCCCCCTTGTTACCGTTCTGCGGGGTTTTGGCAGTTCTGAGAATGTTCAATGAATAGTGGGGGCACCTTCCTTTTTAGAAATCCTCACCTGAGGATATTTTCCCATTGATTTCTTGTTTATTTTTTCAGAGAGAGTGGAAGGGAGGGGAGTGGAGAGAGGTTGCCTTCCACACGCGCCAGACCTGGGCCAGGGATCCAACCTGCAACCACGGTGTGTGCCCTTGACCAGAAATCTAAGCCACCACCCTTGGGTTCCCAGGCCCACGCTCTAACCAACCCGGCCAGGGCTGGGAACACGTTCTTGACTGCTCACCCCACTGCAGGCTTTCTCAGCTGGTTCTGCACCCTGCACCCGCCTGCAGAGTTTCCTTATTTGGCTATTTCAGATTTACTTTCATCGGAACTCAGTTATCTCGCTGCGGCAGGCAGGTCTGCTCTGGGCCCGCCTGAGGTTGGTGAAATGAGGCCTGCTGACTCCATGCCCAGGCTGCCCCTCTGCACCCCCTACCCTCCACAGCCCTCGGGCTCTGACCCGTGCCTGTGAGGACAGGCATCCAGTAACCGATTTAATTCAGTACACATTTGGGCACAGGTGTTGTGTGGGAACTGGGCTTGGGCCAGTGAAATATGCTTCCTTCCTTCTGAGACATTTGCATTTTAAAAGGGCCGAGGAAGACATCACATGCCAAAAAAATGGGTTGAAGTCCTCCTGGAAACAGAACCGTGCTGGGTGTGTGTGAAATAGTTTCAGGCAGGGAAAGGCTGGGTGGGCCTTCTCCAATCCAGAGTGCAGCCGCCCACCCTGCCTTAGACACACAGCCAGGGACTGGGCTGTTGGCACAATTGACGGTTTGGGTAAGAACCTTAACATCTAAACACTCCCACTCCCAACTCTACTCTAATTTGAATACAAGAGACAGAAGTTGCTGCAGGAAATGACTGTGAGATAGAAGATGTCTACCCTCTCTAAACATGATTTTGTTCTTGTTTGTTTTGAACTCAGGGGAATGGTTTGGGTCTCAGATCCTGGAGTCCCCTTCTCTGGGTCTGGGCATAGGCAGGAGACAGGCTCCTGTCTGAGGCAGCTTCTGCAAGTCCCGCTGGAGGCGAGGTGATGGAGGAGGTGACTTTCTCAGGTCCTCTGGGCCGAGGTCTGAGGCCGAGAGGACAGAATGGTCAGTGTTTCAGTCTGTCCGCAAGCCTCAACCGGGGTACCCTGGCTGTGGGAGGCAGGGCAGTGGGAAGAATATGGCAAGGAGGTGGGGCCCCCTCCCCTGGAAGGACTGACTGTGGCGGCTTGGATAGTCCAGTGGCCACGGTTTGCAGAGAGGTGGTGCCGGGATGGAAGCCTCCCAGTCGGCCCTGATAGGCTGGCCATGGGCAGGGCTCAGCAGCGTTTGCACAGGCCTTCGGTGATGATCTCAGCTTGACTGGGGAGGACCCTGAGGAAAAAATGATGATTCCTTGCTTGTAAAGCCTTTCCCCTTTTAAAGCATTTTCTCATTGCTCTTGTCCTCTTGTTCTCATTTTGCCCTCCATGATGCCCTTATGAGTCAGGCCAAAGCAGGCCTCTTCTCCACCTCTTCCAGATGGTGACGGAGCAGCACAGCGTGTAATAGGCCGTTAGGCTCCACCGCTGGGCCCGGCCGGGCTCTGAGAGGTGTCTGGTTCCTCTGCTCCAGGCCCCCTCACCCTGGTTTCTCAGAGAGCTGAATCTGCCCACCGCTCCTCAGTCCCTGACTCTGGCAGTGCCTGTGTGGTCTGTCTCTTCATCATGGAGCAGGTTCTCCTGTAGATGCCCTGGCCACTGCAGGGACAGACAGCCGCTCTGCTAGCCCTTCCAGCTGGGCATGCCGGGGGCAGCTCTGTGTCTGTTCCTGTTGGTATTCTGGAACCTGGCACAGAGGAGGCCTAAATAAACGTTTGCGTGGCATTCATTTGAGATGTGTCTCCCACGGGCTCTGAGCTGCCAGGGCCTGGTAGCTGGGAACATGTGCTGGGTGGGACTTTGTGGAGAGAGCGGAGCTGCCAGCAGGACTGGCTTAGATCCCAGAGCTCAGAATAGCACCGAACAGTTTCCAAATAACCTGTCTCACCTGAGCTCCTCGCTGCCTTCCTGAGAGAAGGGAGAGGCGCATGCTGTTTCTTCCCTGGCTGCCAGCTGGCGCTCAGAAGTGACTTGCAAGATGTCATGGCATGTAGGGACCAGCCAGAGCCCTGGCGCACATCTGCTGATTCCAATTCCTGTGCTTTCCTCATAGTCCTTGGGCTGAAGGAAGACGGGGTTGAGGGCAGGAGGGGGGGAGGGAACTAGAGCAGCATTCCTAAAAGGCTGCCTGATGTTTTGTCACTGGTGGGCTCTTTAAGAGCTGACAGCCCGGGGGAAGGGGAGCAATGGCCAGCCAGTCTCAGAGGTGCTTTTCCTGCGCAGGTGGTGCCTTTTCTGCGGTTTCTCTGGGGCAGGAGTTCTCACCCCGGGGAGTGCAGTAGGTGGGTCTCTGTGTGTGTCGGGGGTGGCGGGGAACACACCACGGGGCAGAAGCCATCCCCGGGGCTGGTGGGCTCCTGCCACTGCTGAGGCCGGGGTTGGACCCTAGGGAGTTTGCGACTTTGCCCAGAGGACTGATTTATTTGGAGGGCCAGACAGTATTTGACTCATATGGTCCCCGCAAGCCCTGTCTTGTGAGGAAGTGGCTGGAGGACCAGGGAGAAAAATAGAAGTGAAAATACTCCTCACTCCTGACAGAAAAACGCCAAGTCCACTTGCAACGACAGTGCTGAGCACACGCTGCATATTGTTGTCTGGAGCAGGTAGGTGATGGTTCGTGGATGGCGCTGTGGCAAGAAACAGGTACACCCGCAGATGGGGGCAGGGTCTGTGGGCCCAGGGCTTTTTACAGTTTTATTTATTGAACGCATTGGGGTGACTGGTTAATAAAATTACGTGGGTTCCAGGCGTACAGTTCTAGAATACATCATCAGTATATTGTATTGTGTTCCCCACCCCAAGTCAAGTCTCCTCCCACCACCATTTATCCCCCCTTTACCATTTCAACCTCCTCCCACCTCCATTCTGGCCCAGGGTTAAATGACAGCCAGTGGGCATCCCTCCTGGGGTATGTGGGGAGGGAACCCTCCTTACTTTCTGCAGATCCTCAGCCTCGATGTTTGTCATGTGCTCCATCAGCTGCCCCTCTCATCAATTCAGAGCATCCCCGAGTGTCCCCCACAGCTTTTTTCTCTCCTGCCCTGAGCAGCCATCAACAGACAGCCCTTTTCCACGTGTATGCCTGACTCAGCACTCTCCTCCCTCTGACACAAGACACAAGACAGTTCCTGCCATTGCTCTCTTAAAACGGATCCCCCCCACACACATGCTCCGCCTCTGTTAAGCATAAGGCCCCATGTATCCCCAGCCCCTGTCCTCTCCCTCTCTGACACGCTTCTAGAGTAGCAGCCAGCCTTGCACCTGTGCGTGCACCTGCTGCGCTGCTGGGCTCTGGCTCCCAGGGCCTGGTAATCCTCTGTCGCCAGCCTGCTCCGCAGCTGCTGCCCATCTCCCTGGAGGGTGCCACACTGTCCCCACTGCCATGCCCTTCCGTGACCTTGAGCTTCTCATCCTCCTCCCGCCCTGCAAGTGCCCACGTGGGGCTGGGTCCTCAGCTTGCTATTCCCTGGGCTCCTCTCCCCGGAGCTCCCCTCTGCTCCGAAGGTGGACCACTGAAGGACAGGAAAGGGGGAGCAGGTGTCTCACCCAGCTCTCTTCTTGGCCACTCTGATTTGTGAAACACAAAATCTTCCCTGTGATGGTTGAGGAGCCCCTTAGATCCTTGTCCCAAGCCACCACTTCCCCTGTGTTCTCCCTAACCAGAGATCGCTGCTGCCCTCAGTCACCCCAGCCTGTCTCCCTCAGCCCATCCTGATCTGTCTACCCCCGGGGCTGCTACCTGAGTTCAAGTTCACCCCCCTTCTTCCCTGAGCTACCGTAATCGTGCATTCACTCCCCTTCCTGCCCTTCCAGATTCTCTCCCACTGCTGCAGAGGGGCCTCCTTCATGCATACCCTAATCAAGACCCACTGCCTTCACGCGTAGCATCCTGGAAATAGTGTGGACTTCAGAAGCTGGCAGGCCTGGCTCGGTTCTGGATTTGTGACTTGCTGGTTGTAGTTGTATGGTCTGAGCAAGTTGCCCAACTTTGGCGAATTTCTGTATTCCCACTGGTAAACAGATAGTCATGTCACCCACTTGGGGGTTGCTGGAAGGGTTAAGTGAGTACACACACACACACACACACACACACACACACAGTCTAGTGTCTGGCGGGTATTTGGTAAAGTTGGTTTTCTTCTTCCTTGTGTTTGATAGCAATAGGGAATTGTGGGGCCTC